GTTCATTTAAAGACTAAGGGGTACCTGATCCAAACCATGATATTTTCACATGTACAATGAGAAAGACAATGAGAAAGACAGAGCAAAGAAGAATCAATGCCTTTAAATTATGGTGGTGGACAAGAATCTTGGATATCTCATGCCGAAAGAATAAAGAAATTTGCCTTGAAAGAAGTGTCAGAGTGATTCTTAGGGGTAAGGATAATATATTTCCAGGAGGAAGCAGTCCCTGGAGAGAGAGATAATTCTGGGAAAGGTAAGAGTGCTGGAGGAAGTGAGGAAGAGCCTCAGTGAGACGTGCAGCCATGGTGACTGCCACAGTGGGTTGGAGCATGACAGAGATTGTGAGGGTGATGCTGGATAGGTCAAGGTGAAGAGCTGCTGTTCACAGGGTGGCTACGGGTTGTAGTCAACTCAATGATACCTAACAACAACACCATACTTCTATTAGATAAGGTAGAATTCAAGACAAAATGTATATTGGAAGTTGAATATTTTATAAGAGAATGTATGATAGTATGGAAAGGAGCTTGTAGAAAAGTGAGTTAAGTGTTGGGTTGCTAACCAAAAGGTTGATGACTTGAATCCACCAGCCACTATGCAGGAAAAAGATGGGCAGTCTCTTCCGCTTATGATTTATAGCCTCAGAAATGCAATGGGATTGTTTACTGTGTCCTATAGGGTAACTATGAGTTAGAATTAAGTCCATGGCAATGAGTGAGACGTAAACACATAGTTATGCCTTATCATGTTCCTTTATGTATTAAAATGATGCTGTGTTTGAATAATAGTTTAATTATATGGCTAAGGGCAGTTGGGTACAGCCAACTAAGTTGACATCAGATACCAGCACTGTCACTTGTGATAGTGCCTGATTTACTATGCTTCATTAGCTATGTTTTTGTTATTAGGTGCCAACAAGTCAAGTATGACTCATACTTACTCTATGAACAAAAGATCTGAACCCTGTTCTACCTTGCACCATCCTCACATTTCCTGACACACAAGAACCCATTGGTGCAGTCACTGTGTCAATGAACCTGGTTGAGGGTTTTCTTCTCCTTTGCCGACCCTCCACTGTTCCCAGCATCATGTCCTTCTCCAAGAAATAGCCTCTCCAAGCAACATGCCCAAAGTATATGAGGTGAAGCCTCATCCTTCTTGCCTCCAAAGAGCACTCCGGCTGTACCCTCTCCAAGACATATCTGTTTGTTCTCTTGGATGTCATCATCTTAAAATGGGAATATTAACCACTCCTACTTTCAGGGGTTGAGAAATAGATAGAGTTGTTGTTTGCACCATCAAGTTGGAAATGACCCATAGCTGACCCTCTGGCAGGTTGTCAAAGGCAGTTAACTGCATGGGAGGAGATTGCCCTTCCTTCTCCCTTAGAGCAGCCAGTGGATTCAAATTGTATGCCTGCAGGACTGCAGTGCAGCTTCTTGCCATTAAGCCACTAGTACCACTAATACTTTATATTTTTAAAATGTACTTTGTAATAATATACAGCAAACTTTTGGAAGAACAAGGAAGAAGGATCAGTAGTTGGAAAAATATGTATTTAGTGATAGAAATGAAACTGGAGACAGAATGATAGCAATATCTTTTATAAGAAATGCTAGCAGTCACTGGAAGGAGGAGTGGCATCCACTTCCATAATAGCTTGCCTCTGGAAACCCTATGAACCTGGAGAGAGAATGAGAGACATCCAAGCATCGAGGACTCTCCTTCATAGGGTCGCTATGAGTCGCCTGAGACTCAATGGCACTTAACAACACAACACAACACAACACAACACAACAACAAGCAGCCACTATTCATATGGATCTCACACAGGAAGGCAGTTTTGTTTGCCTTCGCACATTTCACTGTGTCTCATTAATGAATTTACTTTACGTATAAAGTATTGAATTTTTCCAAAGAGTGTCTATTTCTAATTTTAAAGAGTCCATGAAATACTTAAAACATTTCTGTATTTCAAACTCAGAATCATTGCCTTTAATTTGGAACTAACTCATAGCTGACCTTCCAGCAGATTTTCAAGAGGTTGTAAACTGCATGGGAAGAGGTTGCCCATCTTTCTGCCGTGGAGCAGCTCATGACTAAACCACCTGCCTTTGGGCTCCCAGTGCAATTCTCTAACCTCTAGGCTACCAGCGCTCCCTTTTTCATGTTTAAGATAACAAAAACAGAAATTTTAAAATGAGAACCTGTAACTAATTCTCTGGCCACAGTGCTGCCAAATTGCTAGCAAGGGACAAAGAGCTAAAGCAGTAACAATGTTTGTCACTTGGACGTTTTTGTTATATGCCGTCGAGTCATTTGTGACTCATAGCGACCCTAAGTACAACAGCCCCAAACCGTGCTCTATCCCGTGCCAATCTCATTGCCTCCGACACACCCATCCTGATTACCCCAGCCACTGAATCAATCCACCTCATAGAGGGCCTTCCCCTCCTGCGGTGTCACTCTACTCTACCCAGCATGATGTCCCTCTCTAAAGACCTGTCTCTCCTTACAACATGTCCAAAGTATGTCAGACGAAGCCCCAGAATCCTTGCCTCCAAGGAGCAGCCTGGTTTAACCCTCTCTAGGTTGAATCTGTTTGTTTTCTTGGCAGTCCATGGTACATTCAATACTCTTCTCCAGCACCACAGCTCAAAGGCGCCAATTCTCCTTCTATCTTTCCTAGTCATTGTCCAACTCTCTGATGCATAACAAGTGATTGCAAAAACCATGGCCCGTATCAGGCGCACCTTAGCCTCCAGAGAGACACTGTTGCTCTTGAGTACTTTAGAGAGGTCCCTAACCGCAGACTTTCCCATCGCAATACGTTTTTTGTTTTTTTTATTTATTTCCTGGCTACTGGTGCCAAGAGTGTTGACCGTGGAGCTGAGCAAACTGAAGCTGTGAACACTCTCAATCTCTTCGCCCATCCATCCTGATGCTACCGATTGGTCCGGTGGTGAGAATCTTTGTCTTCTTGACATTGAGCCTCAGTCCATACTGAAGGCTGCAGTCCTTGACCCTCTGCAGTAAGTGCATGAGGTCCTCCTCAGTTTCAGCGAGCAAAGTTGTATCATCTACATAACGCAGATTGTTGATAGATCGTCCACCAATCCTAACATCATGCTGCTCCTCATAGAGCCCAGCCTCTTGGATAATCTGCTCTGCATACAGGTTGAAAAGGTATGGAGATAGGACACATCCCTGGCGTACACCCTTCCTAATTTTGAACCATGCAGTGTTGCCCTGCTCTGTTCTGACGACTGCCTCTTGGTCCAAGTATAGGTTTCGCATTAGCATGATTTAATGTTCTGGGATTCCCATTCTTCTCAGAGTCAGCCACAGTTTGTTATGATCCACACAGTCAAATGCCTTTGCATAATCAATGAAACACAGATAGACATTCTTCTGGTATTTTCTGCTTTCAGCTAAGATCCATCTAACATCAGCTACAATATCCCTAGTACCACGACCCCTTCTAAACCCAGCCTGGACTTCTGGCTGTTCTCTGCTGATGTACTGCAGGAAAGAAAAAATACTTCAGGGTTTTTTTTTTCTTGTTTGTTTTCATTAGGTCACATGATGGGTGGGGGGAGGGTCACATTAAGGAAATGGGAAAGATCCAGTGTCAAAAAAACAGTGTATACCAACTTTCTAAGTAAACCAGTATTAAACAAAAGTTTTATATTAAAAAAGAAAACATACTTCACAAGAACAGTGTTGCCAAAAGTGATATCAATACTGCAATTGCAAACTATTTGGTGACTGATCATAATAAAAAGCTAGGGAACACAACCAAACCTCTCCCCAAGGAGTTATTTTTGTTGCCATTGATTATTCTTGCCAGAGACTTCTCTACTTAATGTTCAGTTTAAATATTTTGCACTTAATCCTTTTTATTTGCCAGTTTGTCTACCAAGGACTAGACTCTAGTCTGGAGGTACAAGGATGGATAAAATTAAGTATTTCCTTCAGAGAATCACTTAAGTAAACCTTCTGGTTTTTTATTCAGTTACTTCATTCCCCTTTTTTTCCCCATTAATTGGCCATATCATTGCATTCAAGGGACGGGTGTGTGTGCAATACTAGGTGTGTGCAGAGTTCAAAACAAGATCATCCAATACCCTACTGTAAAGTTGATTCAAACTCACAGCAACTTTATAGAGAAGAGTAGAACCGCCTTATAGGGTTTCAGAGGCTCTAGCCTTAAGGTGCCCCTGATCCATGCCATGGTCTTTGTAATTACTTGCTATCTATCAGAGAGCTGGACAATGACTAGGGATTATAGAAGGAGAATTGATGCCTTTGAGCTGTGATGTTGGAGAAGAGTATTGAATATACCATGGACTGCTAGGAGAACAAGGTTCATCTCAGAGAGGGTGAGACCGACTGCTCCTTGTAGGCAAGGATTCTGAAGCTTCGTCTGACATAATTTGGACATGTTGCAAGGAGAGACCAGTCCTTGGAGAGGGACATCACGCTTGGGAGGGTGGAGGAACAGGAGAGGAAGACCCTCAATGAGATGGATTGATTCAGTTACTGGGGTAATGTCAGAGACAATAAGATTGGCACAGAATAGAGCAGGGTTTAGGGCTGTTGTATATAGGGTCGCTATGAGTTGCAGGTGACTTGACAGCACATAACAATAACAGTATTTTTTATGAGTTTTCCTATAATAATACTTTTGCCTTAGAGTTCTGCAGTCTGCTAGGTGGATGGTAAGTTGGAACCACTGACCTTTCTATTGCTAATCTCATGCTTAACCCAACACGTAATTATAACTTCTCATAAAGATGTTAGGAACCTACAAAGTAGGCATCAAAAAACCATCTGTGCACAACTTGACTTCTTTTTGCTGAAGTGCTGGCCACCATATTCTCATTTTGTCATTGTTCTTGAAAGTTGAAAGAGTTGAAAACGTGTCTCTCCTCATTTGTAAACTTATTAGAATTGGAATTTCGCTGGACAAGATTTGAAAGGGTGGGGCCACTTACATTCACTCTTTGGTGCAGTTCAGCCTTGGTTTCCTCATCTTCCCACAGATCGTCAGGAAGAGAGTTGAAATCAGCTTGCCAATGAGCCACAAAATCTTGCTTGTGATCTGGACGCATTAGAAATTGCTGGAAGTTTGTTCTGTAAGGCATTAGAAGATGAATTTTACAAGCCGTAGGGATTACATCTCAAAATTTAAGAAAACAAAAATCCTCACCACTGAGCCAATGGGTAAAGGCACAGTAGATGAACAAAAGAAAGAAATTGGTAATCATCTTGCTTGAATCTACAATCAATATTCGTGACAGCCAGGAAATAGACAGATATATTGCACTGTGAAAGTTTGCTGTCAGAGAACTCTCCAAAGTGTTGAAGAGTAATGATGTCAGTTTAAAGACTATGGTGGAACTGATCCAAACTGATCTTTTCAATTACTTGCTATGCATTGGAAAGTTGGACAGTAACTAAGAATGACAGAAGAAGAACCAATGCCTTTGAGTGGTGGTGTTGAACAAGAATACTAAATATCCCATGGACTGCAAAAGAGGACAAACAAGTATGTCTTAGAAAAGGGGCAGCCAGAGCGCTCCTTGGAGGTAAGAACTGTGAAACTTCGTCTCCTGCACAATATACTTTGGGCATGTTGTTAGAAGGGCCCTGTCCTTGTAAAAGATATCATGCTTGGAGAGGTAGAGGGTCAATGAAGGAGGGGAAGACCCTCAACAAGGTGAACTGACACAGCAACTGTAACAGTAGGTTCAAATATGTCAGAGGTGATGAGGATGACACCGGAAAGAACAGGATTTAGAGCCATTGTTCATAAGGTTCCTATGAGTTGTAGTCAACTTGACACTTCACAGCAACTACCTGTGAAATGGGAAATTCTAATTGTGGTAATTGTACTTACCTAATCTCATATAAATAAGTAATCACAGAATACTGGTCTTCTCTCAGGTGTCTCAGCACAGTTTTGATGTGATTTATGTAGGAACTTTCTATCAGTTGCCAGTAAGGTATTAAAAATGATGGTACTTCCTGTTACATGGTAAAAGATGAAATAATTATTATTTTACTATTATTATTA